GCCTAAACAACCTATCAATGATTATCCGTTTATTAATTTAGATATTTGTAAAGGTTATCACTAGGTTGAGAGATCTCTTGTGAATCTCTGATGATGTTTGATAGAGTGACGTCACCTTATGGCACAAGAGTCAGGTAAAGAAGACCTGATGAACATTTGATTTCAGTTCTCTGAAGGATAAGTGATGCCTTTAAAGCAGGGGCTGGGTGTGACTCAATGTCAAGCTGAAGATTGGAATATCCAAAGATCGAGCTGCAATGCTTCGAATATATTCTGCATCAGCTGTAAGCGCGTTATAAAAGTGCCAGTCAATCCTGTTATTTGGTTCAAAGAGCCTGATGAAGCCATTGTGGCGGCGGGTGTTACTGATTAGTTTCATTCTTTCTGATAAGTAATTCAAAATTGGGGACGACTATACTTGAGCCCTAAGGGTCAGTGACCTAGCCTTTTAACCCACGTATGTACACTTTACCGTTCTGGTTCAAAATGCCAACACCTCTTAAAACCATAGTTGCAAGTTTGAGATAGATATTGTTCACTTGAGGCATTGTGGGATATGTTTGAAAATGATTCCTTGCAGTTTTTTGGGAGCTAGTGTCCGTTACATAGGTAAGCGTCCAGAACTAAAAAAATGAAAGGTGTTGAATACGTTTCAAATTGTTTAATCATTTTAATAGGCTTACACCCGTGGCTTTACATCCCATGTATGCATTAAAGCCACAAACTGACATGACTCACAGATCGATGGGGGAAGTTCATAGTACTGAATGGGGACTGTCTTGAGAAGTAATGTATGGTCGTACATTCCATCTGTGCACATTGGTTAGTTGTAATGTAATATTGTTGGAAATGAAATTATATTTCTTTCTGAACACGTTTTATCGATTCGGTATTGAAAAAGTTTATTTTTGCTTTTCTTCTGGTGCTCGCGCAAAGCCGCTCAAGGTCCATCTGCGTTATTTGTCTCTTATTTTGAACTAATTAGACTAGAGGGAGGTAAGTTAGTGAACAGCACCGACCACTAACTGTTGCCTGACCGGAGCGCGACTTTTTGTTTTTATTTTGCAGTAACGGGACTTAAACATTAAACCCGCAGATCTATAGTCCAGAACGCTAACCACTGGGCTACGCTGGACCGTAGATTGAAAGAAAGTAACCCAAAATATGAACTACCTGCCTTTTCTCTACCTATCTCTTGAAAATTAAGAGTCGTCTAGCGCAGATGGTCCTCTAATAGCTTTGCGCGAAATTCAACAAACAATCAAAGTTAATAACATTGAATTTAAATATTATATCGTATGTAATTAAAAGCAACAACTTTAACTTCCTAAGCCAGTTATAGTTATGCGATGAACTTTCAAGGCTTGTTTTGATAGTTGTTAAACACAAAGCTACATAATGGGCCATATTTGCTCTGCCCACCACAGGTATCGAAACACTATTTTTAGCATTGTAAGCTGCAGACTTACTACATTGGGATACTTTGATTCTACTATTCAGTTACAACACATGGCATTTAGCCAACGAGTATGAAAGAAACAAACATTTGTTTATTTGAACGTGACAGGAGTTTAACTAGAAACCAAGGTTGAGCAGGAAAGTTTTATCTTTGCCTTTTGAGCTACGGGGTTTGATAGTGATAGTTCAGGGAACACAATTAAGAGACGAGTGGTTAAAGATGTGGTTATTGGTTGTTTGTTTGTTTAAAAAGACTAATCTCTGTTAGTTATTTTTCAGATGCTAAAAACACAAATTAACAATGGTCAGTTTTATAATACGGAATTCAGAATAAAGACGTGGCGTTCAAATATCAATCGTGTTCACGGTTAGTAGCCTATATATACGCTAATTTAAGTCTAATTATAATTAGTAACTTTTATTATTGTTCTTATTATTACAATTAGATACTGATTACTAAATATTTTACTAATACCCCAATGAATAACCCACCAGCCTTCCATCAAGGAGACCCACGTTCGAATCCCCGCCACTCGCAGTACAGAAAATAATCTTTTTCAAGACTTCCCTGAAGACAGATTAGCAGCCGAAAAGTAAGATAAGAACTAGTTAGTAATTAGCGTATTATAATAATTTTAATGAATGTGTATAGGTCAGTGTTTCTCAATCACAAGTTGCTCGGATAGGCGCTGATGTTTCACAAAAACCAACTTAGAGAATATTCATATATAACTCGCAATGGTTTTTGTTGTTCTTGCATTTTAGTGGTCTGCGACAGTTCAGGGAGGCAGTGAGCCGATCCCTGGTATCGTAAAGGTTTTGTCAATGAATTTCGAGCAAAACTATTCTAGGGCTACCTGCGCCAGCCGTCCCTAAGTTCGAAGTAATAGACGAAAAAACTTTAACAACGAATAGTGGGATTGACCGTCACTTTACAACGCTCTTACGGCAACATGTTTTGATCTTAAGACCCGTAGAATACTGGTCGAGCTCCCTAATCACCAGGCCGAAGAAACTCTGGTACAGGCTATTAGCCATAATAACGATATGAAATTCACATTTCATCTAGCTAGCGAAGGTGTGGTTGCTAAGTTTTGGGGCTTTCTTATGCGATTGTAACTGGTTTTTTTTTGGAGAAGTTTTATGCAGCTAGTAATTAATAATTTTAAGACCAAGTTTTATTTTTTTGTTTGTTTTATTTGCAGTTTCATACTAAACTTGTAACCTTTTATTTTTTGTAGCATTTCACCTAAAGTTCGTTTTGTGTTAAATTTATTTCCACTGCCAGCATCAGCTATATACAGAAGGTATTGAAAGAGGTCAACAATATAAGAAGTTCCTTCTCCAAAATCTTTAAAAGTCCAGGTAATACGCCTTTCAGTGATTTAGCAGAAACAACAACAACAACAAAAAAGCATGTTTCGATACTTGTGGTGGCATATTACAGATAACACTTAGAAGTCTCGTGTCGTATAAGTGATTGCATTTATAAAAAGGGTTGTTTTTAAACACGTTAATACAGTTCAATCGCTCCAGGGATATCGGTTCGTAAAGTTTATTTTCTACCTTCAGCAGTAAAGCAAGGATTTCTATCGTTTTATTCATAGGACATAACTTTGAGATACAAAACAGAATAAACAATACTGGGAAAACAAAGCTAACCGAATGGTGCCTGGTTCACGTTTGTTTGTTGTTAACCACAAAGCTACACAATGGGTTGTTTATTTGCGCTATTCAACTTTTGAAAATTTTCCCTCAGAGCTATATTGCTGATTATAAAATTGGAGTTAACTTTTCCATAATTATCTTGGCTCGTGACAACCCACATCAAAGTAAACTCCACAGCAGCCTACTCCGAACACTTGATTAGTAGGCTTAGCAGGAAGTCTTGGGACTAATGAAGCTAAAAGGTAGGTTTCGATACACCCGTGGTGGGCACAGCACATATAACCAACTGTGTAGCTTTGGGCTTAACAACAAACCAATCCTATAAGTAAAATAGTGTTAACTTAATAATAGGTAAGAAACAAAAATTAACTATACTTTACATAATTGTGTGAAAAAGTTGTGTCTCTTCAGCAGGAAACAGATTTCCACTTATTAACTGTATTTTGAACCAGTTCTTGGTGTTCACACGTGTTTATTTGTTTTTGAATTTCGCTCAAAGCTACACAAGGGCTATCTGCGCTAGCCGTCCCTAATTTAGCAGTGTAAGACTAGAGGGAAGGCAGCTAGTCATCACCACCCACCGCCAACTCTTGGGCTACTCTTTTACCAACGAATAGTGGGATTGACCGTCACTAGTGTTATAAGTCCGCAGACATACCGCTGTGCCACTGGAGAGCGCCAAAAGGAAAGTGGAGTGTTGTATATTACAGAATGGCCCACGCAAATTCCAGATCTCAAAATTATTGAATCATGTTGGAAAGAGAAAAATAAAAATCAACCAAGCTGTAAAGATTCATTATTGTAATTATATGTCAGAGGAGTTTTACGGACATTAGAAGAAAGTCTTCAACCCCGCATTCAAACGGTTTTGAAAGATAATGAAAAGTACGAAATACTAAATAATATATAGACATGGTTTGATAAATTTGTTTACTCTTGTTTGACAGGTATGTTTCATTATCTTCAAAGCGTTTGATATCCTATTAATTCAGAAAACCTCTGAACTACACAAAAAATACATATGACCCAACATGCTCGCCCTTTCAACCGTGGGAGCATTATAATAAAACCGAGATGGGCAGAGCACATATAGCCCATTGTGTTGCTTTGCACTTAAATACAAACAAACAAACAAAATCCTTTTGGCATTGTAAGTACAGTTTGACCGCATTGGCTGTATAATTATGATCATTATCATGCTGGAAAATATAAGCATCAATAGTATCAATATTTGCTCATACCTTGCTGCATCCATTCTGCCATCGATCTTCATCAGACGTCTCACTCCAGTTGTTCAGAAGTAGCTCCAAAACTGAATGGGCTTCGTGGTTGGTTTTAAGTACACATCCTTGTATTTTTCTCAAGCTGTTATCCTTACATTCTGCCTTATTTTCGACTTAAGAATTTAAAATTTAGGACTTGTTATCATTGCCATTGAGTCCATTCTTTATGTCTGTTAGCATATTTTAATACGTTTGCTTCTACGTAAGAAAGGTTTCTTCTTAGCCACTTTGTCCTTTTAATGGATGGATGAAGAAAAGGGCTTCTACCCTTAACGATTCTTCTAGTTTTCATGTTAACTCTTGGCTGGACTTTTTTCCTGTATCTTAAGGACGTAATTTTCAGGTACTGCTCTTCTTGGGGTCGACCACATATTTTCCTATCTGTTATTATCAGAATTCCCTTTCCATCAAATGAATCAATTGCTAAGTTAGTCCTTGGCATTTCAACATATAGCCATTCTTGATAGAAAAATGTAATATTTTACTAATACATCAAAAGGGAATTCAATACGTCAGCAGATTTTTATTGCAATCAAAAATAATAAGCCCAAAACTGCATATCGTGTGTCATTTTCTATACTTTCTAATCAAATATTGCGTACAGTACCATATCTTATTCCTTTCAAAACATAGGACCGAAAGAGCGCACTACAGAGAAAAGGCAGGTTGGCTAATAACGGGAGATTCGACAAGATATTTATTGCGAAATAATTCTATGTTCTCTGACTGGGAAGTCGTGATAAGTAACTAAAGACTAAACACAAGTGTACAATTAAAGGGAACAGTGTACTTAATTTGTCACAAAGAACAGTTTCCTTTACTGGAGAGTTAGTCCTAACTCGGTGATTTTAGGTTCCAAAACTGTAGCCAGATGGTTAGGGCGCTCGACTCGCAATCTGCTGGTCGCGGGTTCGAATCCCCTCCCACCAAACATGCTCGCCCTTTCAGCCTTGGGGGCGTTATAATGTGACGGTGAATCCCACTATTCGTTGGTAAAAGAGTAGCCCAAGAATTGGCGGTGGGTGGTGATGACTAGCTGCCTTCCCTCTAGTCTTACACTGCTAAATTATGGACGGCTAGCGCAGATAGCCCTCGTGTAGCTTTGCGCGAAATCCATAACAAACAAACAAACAATCGTTCCTCGGATCATGATTTCAGTGCTCCATGTTTTTAGATCACTAAGATCAAACATGTTAGACAATCTAGATCTTATATCTATTAAAAGTTGAAATTATCTTCATGTTCAGACGATTCTCGAAAATAATAACAATACACGTTTTTCAGAGAAATATAACATTTAATGTAACAACAGCACAAGCATTTTAGATTTAGTTTAGAACGTTTACTGGCTCACGTTTGCTGTTTTTCGGAGAACACGATTCCAAGCGTTTCTTTGAAAGTTACTCGGTGCATACGCGGGTCGAATAGGAGTTCAGAAAATATGCTAAAACAATGGTTTGTAATTAAGCACAAAGCTACACAATGGGCTGTCTGTGCTCTGCCCACCACGGGTATCGAAATCCGAATTCTAGCGTTGTTGGTCTGCAGACATACCGCTGTGCCACTGGGGGGAGGGCTAAAAACAATGGAATTAATGCAACAGTTTGGGAACAGGCACAAACATATTAATAGTACGTGTCACAGTTTTTAAAATAGGTGGTTTCACTTGCACTATTGACCCCATGTATCTGATCGTTTTACATAAGGTTGAATGTGAAACCGGTTTTACTGCTTTAGCTCATGTTATGCAGATTATTAAGATCCTTGTCGGTACTTATTAGGGTATATTAAAAATCTTGCGCAAGAGAAAATTTTAGTTTTAAAATTTCTATTTAAAGGTTACTTGTTCTTCTAACCATTTTGTTTTTTTATAGATCTGGTAAACTCTTTGAGAGTACATGCACGTACTCTTGGTTGTAAGTCACCATGGAAATTTTTTGGGAAGCCTTCACACAGTTAAGATACATTTTTTACCTTGTAACTCCAAAGGAAACCAGTTTTAAGAAAATTGAAGATGTTCCTGATTATGCAATGACGGTAATACGGTTTGTAGAAACGTAATATTATTTTACAAAAAATAAATACTTATAAATATATAGTATAAATTCTTTCTGTAAAAGTTTTTTCGGCCTTTGATTTCCATATAGCTAAGCATGAATTTCGATTATAGCCTTTTGGCGTAAACTGTTGAAGTATTATAATATAATCAATTATTGAAAATAATAGTTTTTAAACATATTTTTATTTAAAACAAGTTTTATTGATTTCTATAAATTAATATGTTTTAGTCCCTGAGGAATATTCAACAAAGGCACGTGTTTTCTTAACCTTGACACAACTGTTTATTACCAGGATTGTTATCTCCTTCAGGTTGTCTATTTTATATAATAAAACTACATTTACTTACCTATACATAATTTAGTCCCGGAGAAATATTTAACAAAGGCACGTGTTTTCTTAACCCTGACACAATTTTTTACTACCAGGATTGTCATCTCCTTCAGGTTGTGTATTTTATGTAATAAAACTAAGTTTACCTACCTATACATATTGTTACGTCTCTGGTCGTTAGTTAACTTCCCGTATAATTTCTTTCCGATAAAACTTTAGCGACACGAGTCCTTTCTTAAATAAAACTAGTTTATTCTTTCTCAATACAACTTTGAAATTCACTTAATTTCAACTATCACACTATAAGTTAAACAAATGCTATAATTCACAACGAACGACACACGCGCTCGACCCAACAATACGTCTCTATCTCTGTCTGCAGTTCAATTACATTCCATTGTTGCCGTCACTTCTTGGCGGTCTTATATATATATACAAGAATACCGCATATCTAGTAACCTCTCAAGACTTCAGGAAGGGACATGAACATTCTAGGAGAGCATGACGTGTTACTAGAGTCACGTAACCTCCGCTGACGTAACAATATTTTAACTTATATTCATATTATACATAAATCTAAACACGCAACTATCAAGCACTCGTGCCTGTAGGCGTAATAAACAATAAAAATCTTATTGGGGCTACAATCGAAAGCGTGCGTGGTGGGGGTGAGGCTTGTTTGCTGAGGGTTTTAATAAAACCTTCTTTCTTTCTTTCAGTGCGAATCAGAATCAGGCCATCTATGTCCCTGCCTACATCTAGCATATATGTAGTAGTCGCAGTTGAAGTAACTGGAAAGCATATGGCTTTCATAATTATGCTAGAATGTATCTGCAGTAAGGTATATTCAGTTATGATTCCTTTTCATGTTGGTATTATGCATGTAGCTAAAGACACCCTTTTAAACCGGATGGCTAAAGATCCTATCTATATGCTAATAATTATTCTGAGGTAAAGGTTACATACAGCAACTGCTGTCTAATATAAGCTTATACCAGTTCGACCTTGTGTCTTTGTCTACTCCCCTGGGTAGAACAATCCCATCTCAAGGGTAGGGGAGGAGGATAATATACTCGTTTAAATTAATATGAGTTGGGGTGTTCTCTTCTTTGAATATGTCATTTGAAATAGTCGTTGACGTAGGTAATACATGGCCAGTGGCGTAAATACAAAATATGACCCCTCTCGCATAAAAAGTAATTGGGCCCCCTACATTATCCTATAATTGTAGTTACGATTCTGATTGATTACGGCCCACTTTTGGCTCGGTGCTGCCCCCCTCCATTACCCCGCAATTGAGTGGGCATACTTACGACACTGCATATGGCTTATGGGATACCGCACACAACTTTGTGTGACTTGAAAGTACCGTATAACATTATTCTTTCCTGTGCAGATGTTTAGAAAGTCACTTTCTCCCAGCAATCAGCTATAATTACAACAGAAAGTCAAACTTAGCGAGTTTTGTGTTAAGCCTTACATGTTCTTGTGAATGAATATTTGTTTAATATGTTCCCTTATATATATGAGCTTGTTTTTCTTTAGCTGTTCGTGCTCCATTCTGAAGAAGAGATTTATATTTACATATTTAGTCCAAATGACACATTATTGTGATAAGAGTTTCTAGCAGGTTGTACGTTTTTCTGCCCTTAAACTTTACTTGAATTCTAATGCGCCAATACGCTTAATAATTGGAATCGTATTGAACTTTTAGATGACATAACCATCCAGCAGCGTTCCGTCCCTTCAATCTACAAAAGTGAGATGGTGATCTTGCTAACGTTTAACTAATTGAGGTTTTTACATGCAAAGCTAATACTGTTAGAATATTTCAATTTGCAATACAAATTCAGGCGAAATGTGTAGATTGCAAAGTGAAGTTATAAAGTGAGGAATATAGTGGGATATTTATCAAATCGTAATTTGTATAGTTTGTGTGTGTATGTGTGATGCTGTTTTCCTTTGTAAGACTGTTATTACTCCGTGTGCTCCAAACTCACTTACTCTTGATCATATCTGAATGTAGTTTTCCTTTGTAAGACTGTTATTACTCTGTGTACTCCAAACTCAATTACTCTTGATCATATCTGAATGTAGTTTTCCTTTGTAAGACTGTTATTACTCTGTGTACTCCAAACTCAATTACTCTTGATCATATCTGAATGTAGTTTTCCTTCGTAAGACTTTTATTACTCCGTGTGCTCCAAACTCGCTTATTCTTGATCATTTCTTAAAGCCACACACCTACTAAGCTCTCTACTGTATAAGTAAACATTAAATTAACTTGATGTTCTGTTGTCTTTTTTTATAGAATACGTTTATAAAGTATAGTATAAAACAAAGATTATTTAACACAATTTTTTTCTCTCTAAAAATCTATGTTTTATTATAAATCTTGCTAACCCCCATATGAGGTTATGCAATGTTATAGACCTTCGTAACACACGTGACATCTTTCTGTGAATGCATGTACAGACTGTACAGTGTTCTGCTTTACTCACATGGCACCCCCAAAATAGTTGTATAGACCGAAATTCCCCACGCAAGTGGTATAATTATTAGACATCTGCATTGTAGAACTCAAAAAAGAGGATAAAATATGCTGTGAGAGGTGATACAAGGAATAATTTCCCTTTTTTTCGTTGTAGGCAAAGTAAGAATTGGTTTACCAGAGATCTTGAACTTTCTATTGGGCGTGGTAAGTATTCTCAGGAACATCAGGTCATTGATAGTTGTTCAGCATGTGTCTTCCTACTCACAACAAAGCCTTGCAGACATCGCCAGTTCCCAGAACAAGAGACAATGTACAGTGTAGAAAGCAGAGGGCGGACAAGATATTAGACAGACCTGTATGGTTTTGGAGACTGTTTTGTTCTGAGATGAGTCCCACTTCTGACAATGCAATTCCAATAGGCACATTTGATTATGGAGGAGCACTGGATATGTATTGCGGAATGACTGTCTAAAGGCAACGGTTAAAAAAAATGGTGGTTGCAACTTTATCGTCTCGGATGTGATTTGGCACAGTGGGAAGACCCGATTGATGTTCATCTCAATTCCAAAGTTACAATGCTATCCTTCAGAATCATCTTATACCATTATTCCATCAAAGGATTGTGTAGTTCGCATCACACCATCTACAGAAAGACTACATCACTTGTCATACATCTAGAATCAGCCCTATTTTTAAGAGATAAAACGGGCTGCAGATTCTTCCCTGAGCACCTCCGAGTCCCAACATGAACCCTGTAGAACATGACTACATCACTTGTCATACATCTAGAATCAGCTCTATTTTTAAGAGATAAAACGGGCTGCAGATTCTTCCCTGAGCACCTCCGAGTCCCAACATGAACCCTGTAGAACATGACTACATCACATGTCATACATTCAGAATCAGCTCTATTTTGAAGAGATAAAACGGGCTGCAGATTCTTCCCTGAGCACCTCCGAGTCCCAACATGAACCCTGTACAACATGTGAAAGCCTTAATCACTGCTCGTCAATGTGAATGAACAGTAGTCAAAGCTCAATGAACTATGGCAAAATCTGGACCATAGTGTAACACAGAATTTCGTTAATTCTAAGCGACCAGATACTGGTGTGTTTTTTTTCCTGCTCAGTGTAGTGCTTGTGCTATGTTGAAATTTGGTACAATACGCGTTACCTCTGTTTCAAAGTTGTTCATGTTAATATGGTAGGCCACTGTATATGAAATACGATTATCTAATTTTTCAATATTTTAAATTCATTTTGAAGGTTAACGAATTGATATTTATTTACTTTCTTCTAATTACAGGCTTTGCCTATGATGGTGGTCCTAATGCTAATTGAACAGATAATTCTTTTATACAAAGGTCACAAATTCGCCCGTGTGAACGACACCATTTTATCCATTACCACTGGAATGCTTTTACAACTTTCCAGGTAAAATTCAAATTTATTGTTTAAAAACTCACGTGTACCAATATTTTTACAAGTTGAAAAAAAAAAAGGTTTGACCAGGACCAAGCATTTAGCTACACGTCCTAATCAATATATTAGTTATCCCCAAGGTGAAAGTTCAAACACAAATTTATGACACCATTCACAGACACCATCTCATGTATATATGAGTTTTTGGACTTCTCAAACAGAACCTCGGAAAATGTTTTATACGTATATCTGATGGACTTTTGAAAGCACGTGCAGAGGAGAGGGGGGAGGCAACATTGGCCTTACGGTATTGCATAAAAGTCTCTTGCAATAGAAACTGCGCTCATAGCAACCGGCCGTCACATGAAACACCATCTGTGGCAAAAGAAGGAGTTGTATGGCCTAAACTTTCATCTTTGTGTGATTAACACAAATAGTTAACACCGCTTTGTAAGTATTCATTTTGAAAGAAGAATCTGTCTTCCTGTTTGATTTTGCTTTCAATTGTTTAATTAAAGCACAGGTAGTTTTAAAAAATACTGAATGAAAATCGAATATTTGAAATCACAATCCAAATAGACACCTAATCACACTAAGTATAAGTTAAAGAAAGATCACAAGCATTCTTGAAATAAATTTTCTTCTCATAGGGGCATGGCATGACCAGGAGGTTAGGGCGCTTGACTCGCAGTCTGATGGTTGAGGGTTCGAATCCCCGTCCCAACAAACATGCTCGCCCTTTCAGCTGTGGGAGCGTTATAATGTTACGGTCAACCCCACTATTCGTTGGTAAAAGAGTATCCTAAGAGTTGGCGGTGGATGGTGATGACTAACTGCCTTCCCTCTAGTTTTTCACTGCTAAATTAGGGACGTGTAGCTTTGCGCGAAATTCAAAACAAACCAAAAACACAAACCAATCTTCCCAGAGGTTTTTATAGAAGCCCACCAATCTTCAAATAACATCAGCACAAGCTGATTCAGAAATTACCAGAAAAAGTAGTGGAAGAAAAATAGTGATTTTTGTCTCATTATAAATGTTATTGTTATTTAATCATGAAGCTACACAATGGGCTATCTGTGTTTTGCTCACCACTAGTAACGAAACCCGATTTTTAGCGTTGCAAGGCTGCTGACTTTCCGCTAATCCACTGGGAGGCCAAAATAATTGAAATTCAAACATGTGCAAAAATCGGTGAATATAACACGTATTTTCGTCCCATCTAGACATCTGGTGTTGAAACAGAGAAATGTAATAAGTATCATCGATATCTGTCCCATAAAGGACCATCACTCCCCCCATGTTTATAACACTAAAATTGAGTTTCGATACCCGCGTTGAGGAGAGAACAGATAGCTCATTGTGTAGCTTTGTGCAATACAAGCAAACCATTAAATGAAGCATGCTAACTGTGAAGCTGTTGGTTTTTTATACTACTTTACTCATCAATTTAGTTAGTTATGGATTTCGCGCAAAGCTACACGAGGGCTATCTGCGCTAGCCGTCCCTAATTTAGCAGTGTAAGACTAGAGGGAAGGCAGCTAGTCATCACCACCCACCGCCAACTCTTGGGCTACTCTTTTACCAACGAATAATGGGATTCACCGTCATATTATAACGCCCCCACGGCTGAAAGGCCGAGCATATTTAGTGTGATGGGGATTCGAACCCGCGACCCGCAGATTGCGAGTCGAGCGCCCTAACCACCTGACCATGCCGGGCCTTACTCATCAAAGAAAGAATATTATGTTCCATGAGCGGGAAAAAGAGGGAGTCGAAAACATTCCTGATACACATTAATGTAAACAAAACAAGTACAATTAAAATAGAATAACAGATAAACTACTCAGATCTTTTATTTTGTTCCGACGAAGATCTCTTGGCTGCAGGTTGACCAAAGTTTAATTCATTTTAAAGTTGTTTTAAAAAAATTAGTGTTTCAGATATATCCATGCTGCACTAATTTGTTTTTTAAACTTAAATTCAACAGTGAATCTGATGTTACTGGAAGAAAGCAATAAGTTAATAAATATTTTGATCTGTTATTTTTCTCTCATAAAATTCAGAATCCCATGTCGCAGTGTAGAGCTTGTGATATACTGCTGGATATACAAGAATTTCAGATTATTGACGTTACCATGGGACAGTGTTTGGACATGGCTGGCAGCCTTTTTGATAGCTGACTTTTGTTATTGGTTGACACACCGACTATCACATGGTGAGGTTGTTTGTTCTTGCAACGCATAACTATCATAAGCAAAGTGAATCAGCTAACCCTTAGTAAGAATGGGTGATCGTGCCCCAGCTTACTCATGGTAACACTAGAGGTGTAAAGTAAGCCTGCTTGGATTGAACACCAACAAGGTTAATGTGATATAAACGTATTGCACGTGTAGATCATGTACCGTTATTCATTTGTTCAAACTAGGCTCTATAGATATTGTTAGGTAGGTTGTGTATCAGTGAACATAGATGAGGGCTAGGTTGATAGGTGCTGTTAAGGTTGATAGGTAACGTATCAGCCAAGACACACAAGAACTAGCTGTGTCATGGCAGTTCTTATAGAACACGCACAGTTTTTCACGTTACGTAAAAGAAGAACTAACTTTGACATGACAATACTTGTAGAACACACATAGGTTATCACGTTAAGTCAGAGAAAACTAGCTGTGGCATGACAATACTTGTAGAACACGCATAGGTTATCGCGTCACATCAGAGAAGAACTGGCTGTGACATGACAATTCTTGTAGAACACGCATAGGTTATCACGTTAAGTCAGAGAAAACTAGCTGTGGCATGACAATACTTGTAGACCATGTACAGGTTATCACGTTAAGTCAGAGAAAACTAGCTGTGGCATGACAATACTTGTAGAACACGCATAGGTTATCACGTCACATCAGAGAAGAACTGGCTGTGACATGACAATACTTGTAGAACATGTACAGGTTATCGCGTCACATCAGAGAAGAACTGGCTGTGACATGACAATACTTGTAGAACTTGTACAGGTAATCGCGTTACAGCAGAGAAGAACTGGCTGTGACATGACAATACTTGTAGAACGTGTACAGGTAATCGCGTTACATCAGAGAAGAACTGGCTGTGACATGACAATACTTGTAGAACGTGTACAGGTAATCGCTTTACATCAGAGAAGAACTGGCTGCGACATGACAATACTTGTAGAACGTGTACAGGTAATCGCGTTACATCAGAGAAGAACTGGCTGTGACATGACAGTTCCTGTACCAATACGGGAGTTATCATGTTATGTATTCAGTCAGATAACTCATACTCACATAAGTTGAGTGATATAATGGCAGTCACATGTTAATTTTTGTGTGGCGATTACCAAGATGTCCCTCTTTTACCAACTCAAATACAATTTAAGTTCAAATTTTCTTCCAAACCAAAATAAAAAAAACAAAAAACTATTGCGTAAAAACATTCTGAAACTTAAGATATCAGATTATCTATTGAATTCTCTAGAAATGTCCAAAAAGATCTAGAAACAACGTTATTTTAAAACTATCTCCAATTTGTAATATTCTTTACCTTTGTGTCTTCTTTTTTGACGGAATACTCCATTCCAAATACCGCATGTTCATGTTATATAAACACACATATATATACATATAATTAAAAAAAAATAGGAAAAAAGAAAACGTTTACATCATGTAAGGTTTTATATATATATAACATGAACATATGGGTATTGGGAAAAGGTCTTTGGTTCTGAACAGATTCTCAGGGAGGATTTGAAAACCATTTATAGTTTAACCTGTGGGACAAGTTATGATTTTAATATAAAGTGGTATGTGCACGTTTATGATTGTGCTTCGTATAGGAAATCAGTCACGTTACTTAATTAAACAGCTGTTTAAAGCCGGGCCTTAGAGAAAAGGGGGCTACTCCAAGCCGGGCCTTGGAGAAAAAGGGGGCGACTCCAACTGATTCTGATTTTTTCAATTGTATCCATGAATTTCCCAATTACCACGACGGTGGTATTTCTGCACAACTTATTAACACACTCCCATTTTTTTAATATACACGTGCTGCTCAAAGGGCAGGATTGAGAGTTTAGATTTACTCGAAGTTACCAATGGTTATCACTTGGCGTTTAGTTCTAATGTCGTTTTTATAATAAACGCTTTAATTCACGATCATAAAAATCATAATATTTCTTCCTTTTTTCTATCCAATTATCGACCCCTCACCTTCCAAGATTTGAGTTATTCATTGGAATATATTTTCCCTTGATATCTATATTAGTATACGTAAATGAATAATTACAAACGTTCAAACACATGGCCAGGTGGTTAGGGAACTCGACTCGCAATCTGCGGGTCGAGGGTTCGAATCCCCGTCCCACTAAACATACTCGCCCTTTCAGTCGTGGGGGCGTTATAATGTGTCGATCAATCCCACTATTCGTTGGTAAAAGAGTATTCCAAGAGTTTGCGGTGGGTGGTGATGACTATCTGCCTCCGCTCTAGTCTTACACTGCTAAATTAGGGACGGCTAGCGCATATTGCCCTCGTGTAGCTTTGCGCGAAGTTAAAAAAAGCAAAAAACAAAACCTTTTCTCCGAACAGATTTTTGACCCTGTCTTTACTTCTCTTTTTGTGTTCTTCTTGAACATTCCAATATTTATATCCAAAATTTCTTATGTAAATGTCTTCTACCCACTCAAAACTTACACTTTTGATTCAGAATCAGAGTAATAATAAGTCAAACTGGTGCACGAAAGTTTCGAAATCTGAATGTTCTAAGTATTTACATTTTTCTAATATTTATTTTATTCAGATACTATATTACAAGACAGTTTCTATTCATATCTAGTGTTTCGTTCTGAATATATATATATATTAAACATTTAATAAATGTTTACTATTTCGTTTTAGATTTTTATATAAAATTTTTAAAAAAAGTGTTACGGGATGTTAATAATGACCCTTTTCACTATCAACCAGAGGTGAATATTTTTTGGATGTTTCACCAAATTCATCACACATCTGAGGAGTTGAATACCACCACTTCTCTTCGTATCAGCTTCCTTCTTCCCTTCTTAGCTTGGGTAAGTAAATAGCTAAGAGTATTAACTACTATCATTTGGGATTAAGTAGTTTATGGAGCTGTACTTGAAACAATAGCGACAAGAGTATTTCGTAAGGTGAACAATCTCTTGTACTCTCATCATTTAATATTTCTTTAAATCATTCCTTTACCTTTCAGTGGTACAGCGGTATGTCTGCGGACTTACAATGCTAGAAACCGGGTTTCGATACCCGTGTTGGGCAGAGCACAGATAGCCCTTTGTGTAGCTTTGTGCTTAACTCGGCCCGGCATGGTCAGGTGGTTAGTGCGTTTGGCTCTCAATCTGAGGGTCGCGGGTTCGAATCCCCGTCCCACCAAATATACTCGCCTTTTCAGCCGTGGGGACGTTATTATATGACGGTCAATCCCATTATTCATTGGTAAAAGAGTAGCCCAAGAGTTGGCGGTGGGTGGTGATGACTAGCTGCCTTCCTTCTAGTCTTACACTGCTAAATTAGGGACGGTTAGCGCAGATAGCCCTCGTGTAGCTTTGAGCGAAATTCAAAACAAACAATTGTGCTTAACTACAAACAAACTTATTGACTATTCTGTTTTACCACTCCCCCTATCTTTTCACCCTTGTACTTCCCCTTAACTCATTATACTTATAATCTGTCAGCCGGTTAATCAAGAGCTGAGCGTAGCCCAGTGGTTAACGTGCTGGATTCTGTATATGAGGTTTTGTGGTTCGCTCACAAAACAAAAACAACCAATTCGTGCTTCGCACACTGGGCTATAACAGTAACGGTCATATCCTATTATTCGGTCTGACGATGGTAGCCCAAGAACTATCGGTGGCTGGTTGACTAGCTGCCTTCCATTTAGTCTAACGATTCAAAAATAAGGCCCAATTAGCGTAGGTAACACTCGAAGAACTTTGCATGAAACTCAACAAAATAACTACAACAACAAACAGTGATCAAAACATTCGCTTATATTTATCTTAATAATCAAAATGTTTTCCCAACATCTTTACTTCCTCAAGCTCATTAACTTGTGCCGGTGGTCGAGTTTAGTTACCTATAAAACATCTACTTTACGAAATCGTAGCTTTGAATTCCTCTGGGTTTCATTTTCCAGTTTTCAAAGTCATTTCTAAAACAACATGGCAGTCTGCCATTATTAACATTTCTTTAGTTATAAATCTATTACTTACAGCATGTTTAATTTATTATAACATTATTTATTATTGTTTTCAATATTAAACTGTAAGTGTACTTATTATGTATTGGATACAATTTTCTTTATCCTTGTGATAATTAGTCTTACTTATATACACCCTTTGGAACTACTTGTGGTCTTACTTCTATACACCCATTGGAACTACTTGTGGTCTTACTTCTATACACCCTTTGGAACTACTTGTGGTCTTACTTCTATACACCCTTTGGAACTACTTGTGGTCTTACTTCTATACACCCATTGGAACTACTTGTGTTCTTATTTCTATACACCCTTTGGAGCTACTTGTGGTCTTACTTCTATACACCATTGGAACTACTTGTGGTCTTACTTCTATACACCCTTTGGAACTACTTGTGGTCTTACTTCTATACACCCATTGGAACTACTTGTGGTCTTACTTCTATACACCCTTTGGAACTACTTGTGGTCTTACTTCTATACACCCATTGGAACTACTTGTGGTCTTACTTCTATACACCCTTTTGGAACTACTTGTGGTCTTACTTCTGTAGACTCTTTGGAACTACTTGTTTGAACTGTAAAGTGAGACATCTATCGGTGCCTATAAAAACTGAACTGACACCTGTTTAGCTTTACATTATTTACGCTTCATTTATGCTTTACTTTCTTGGCGGCTGCAAAACCGGATTCAACATATGTATCAAACAATCCAAGGTCTTATGAGATTTGGTGTCTTTGTTTTATAAGTGAAACTGGTTGAAATTCTACGGTTGTGTTTCCAATCGCTCGAAATAAATGCAATAGTACTTACTATTCGTGATCAGTTTATTATACAACTCAAATGTTGTATTTTTTAAGGGTTGAGGAGGAACAATAACATGTAACTAATGCTAGAAAGATTAGGTGCAATTTATAATATTGACTCGTTTTGCATTTCATAGCTTGTTATTGTTAAAAAAATAATATTTTTATGGGGGCATAACAGATTTAATATATCATGTTGAATAACTATTGATGCTGCGTTTTAAGTAAAGCAGATACCATTTTTGTTATAAGCATATTTCTTTGTTTAATTCAATTATAGCCTGTAAATGGAAAAATGAAATGTGAACACATCCGTAATGCAATATTTTTTCTCTCTCTTTTTTTTTTACAGTTTGGCTATATACCCATGGCAATATTCATACCACCTTCCCAGTTTTTCGCACATTATCAGTTGAACCTTCTTTACCAGTTTTGGATTCACACAGAGGTAGTTAAATCAATATGCTCTGTTAAGTATAACATAAGTTTTTACAGAATTCTAGTTTATATGTTTTTTCTATAAGTGAATGATGACACGAAGTTTTGACTGGCTTTAATGTATATAGTTATGAAGAACACATTTTAACTTGAGTGTATATAGAATTCTTTCACAACATAAACAGCTGAATTAAGAATTGCTTAGAAATATTAGTTCATTCTTATAACGTGCTTGTTTCATTTGTTGAAGAGTGTCTTAAGATGTAGTCGTATGTAGAGCCGTCGAATAAGTCTTCAGAATGCTCAAACTACAATTTCAAGTAAAAGCAAACCCTAACTATATAGAAAGCGGAGTTCTACACTAAATTAAAACTGTAACAAAACGTTAATAAACAACAACATACGTTAAAGTTAAGTAAAACGCTATAAGTGTTAAATTCGATGACGAGGAACCCACTTTGAGACTGATAATGCTTGGAGACGGCTTGAATATATCTGTGTCAGTGTAAACTACTTGTACCTGATCATGACAAAACCTTGTCGAAACGTTCTACATTTGCTGTTATGTTAAACTTATATTAACGTTTTACTTCATTACTCATTCAAGCCGTCTCCAAGCATTATCAGCTATAAATGTTAGTCAAAGATGAAAATCAAATATCGTTTCTAAAGTTACTCTTACAGGGGCAAGTTTGGTTTTAAATACAAAATTTGTGAGCACCAAAAAAAGCCAGGTTTCCTCACTAGCATCTGATTCTCGGACAGAGAAGACAGCTTTCTATATCTGGACGGCACGTGCAACTTTTCCTGCAAGAAACTCGGTTAATTGTCAGTTAATGAACTCGTATCTTGTATGGTATGCACCAAAACAAGGAGAGTTTAAGGGCCTACTTGAGCGACTCTTTGCGTCTAAACTAGAAATTCTGAAAAACATGATAATTTCGATAAAAATTACATTTTAAGTAATAATTAAGGGGGTTTAAAACACATGGTACTGTTCTGTACCACAGTATTGGCATGCTAGTCTGAAGTAAGTTAAGAATATCCACACTGCTTCCAGTAGAGATATATAAGTATATGGATATTGATTGGTATGCTAATCGGACAGTGGATTGGGAATATATATATATATATATGGAGCTTTCAGTAGCAATATAGATATGGGTATTAGTATATACACTATAGCACAGTATTTATATATTTTGGGTTAATAGACTACAGCAGAACTAATTCTAATATAATAGTTTTTCTGCCTTGTGAAAACACATTACCTTATTTTCCGTTGTATCTCTTCCTAAAGGCAATAGGGAAGCTTGGACCTTTGGAATACATCTTAAATACACCCAGTCACCATCGAGTTCATCACGGTATGATTCTTTGGAACTTACTGTCTTTTTCTTTCTTTCTTCTGTACTGGTTGTCCATTCATTACAATGTAATATCTCGGTGTATGATGAATAGGTAACTAAAATAGTAAATTTTAGAGAGTGTAACAATGTATATAAACAATAAATAAACTTAATATTCCGAGAATTGTTTAATTTCGAAGTCTAAGTTCAAGGGAGGCCTAGTTCAATCTACACTTTGATCAACGGGTTATACTAGTTTTGGAGAATTCCACTCCTCATCGGTAGCCCTGAACACAAGTTAACCAAAGAGGTATAAGCTGGACCTACATCATAGTGAAAAGTATTAAACATACTGTTGGTGTGAGCGTGTATAGGTTTTTCTCATAGTGACTACAAAGCACGTTCACACCAGCAGTATATTTAATATATATAAACATTTAGCTACTAAGTCTAATAATTTTCATCAAATTGCTAAGTAGATATCACTAATTTCACAACTATATTATTATTCTCTCCCCCCACCAATCATTCAGCTGTTAGTCTCTAGATTTATAAAGCTCAAAATCGGGTTTTGATGCCTGTGGTGGAAACAACACAAATAGCCCATTGTGTAGCTTTGTGCTTAATCATAAACAAACATTTTTTGTTTCAAATTTTCTTATCTCCTGTGTAGCTTCAAGGAACAAACATCATTTCATACTTTTATCACGAACCCCCATACCTTCCAAACAGTAAAACATGTAGTTTAACATTATTTGTTACAGACAGACAAACCTCTGAAGAAAAGCTTGAATCGCAAAAAAAAAAGAAAAAAGGGAATGCTAACTAAATTAATCCTAGTATACCCACCCTTGCCGTATGGGTCTAACGTTCATGAAATACAAAAATATAATAGTAGATATTATTAAAAGGTGAATTGAATTTTGTAGTTTAATATCTTTATTCCTGTCCCCCGGTGGTTTAGTGGTAAGTTTTAGGGCTTATAACGTTAAAAGTTGAGTTTCGATACTCGTGGTGGGCACGTCACAGATCGTCCATTGTGTAGTCCTGTGCTTAATAACAAGCAAACAATCTTCACCCCTGGGGATTTAAGCTGTTATATCGCTTGAGGAAGCTTTACTGATATTGAGGAGAAGTGGAGATATAGGAGTTTAAGGAAACGCGTGAGTACTGTAGAAGAGTCTAATTACAAGACAAAATGGACCACATCAATCCCACATTGGCTATTGGAGCACAAAAAGTGGGCTGCTTATTTCAAATAAGAACGTGTTAACAAAAAAGAAAATATTGCGGAAATAATCAGGGACGCCGCTAGCTGGGCAAAGGGGACATTTACCCACTAGTAGTCGCCAAAGGGCCCCCAAGTTCTCGTCAAAACCACAAACCACTGGAATTCCAAGCAAACATCACGTTTCCTTTTGATAAATCTGTCAATAAACGAAGATAATTTTACAAAAGTTCTCGCATACGTCAATAAATCAATAGACCTGGTACCCCAAGATGACCCATATTCGTTATTTTTTTTCAATGCCTTTAAGTACGAGGGGTAGTCCCGTCTTGTAAATTCTAAATTCCCTATATAAATACATATTTATCACCTAAACATATGAATATGTTGCTTCGGAAAAGGATGTTACACATACTCCCTTAAAAAAGTCAGTTTGTGGTGGCATCACATTACTTTCGTTATGCCGAAAAATGTCAAAACATAGTTATGATACATTCCGTTTCACCGCGTTTTGATATAACTTACTCAATCCCCTGTACAATGTGCAAGAAGTTCTAGTAATTTCTATTAATTTGAAGCTCGTCTCTGATACATTTTACTTTTACCTGGAAGGATTTGACATATATATATATCTGTCATGACTGAATACGTGTTGAATATGTATATGACATGAGAAATATGAATCGAAACCTACCTTTATTTTACTGTCTTCTCAAATGTGCAAAAGAAAAAACAAAAAAGAAGAGAGTCTGAAACCGCTCTTATTGAGTTATTTGAGATGTTATGGGTTAACTCATAACTTTATAAGTAATGGTTCTCTGCCTTTGCAGGGAGAAACCGTCGGTGTATTGACAAAAACTATGCAGGAGTGTTGATCATCTGGGATCGTTTGTTTGGCACATTTGAGGCTGAAGGAAAAGAAAAAATCTATTACGGACTTGTTCACCCTGTCAAGGCAATGAATGTCTTGTGGTTGAATGTAAGACAAAGCTAGAAAATAACATATACGGCCATTTATGATAAGTTTCAACTATGTTAAGATAATCTTCTTTATGAGTTTAATATTATATTTCCTTTGAAAGTCCAATACACACTGAATTCACACTATTCTACATGAAATATGTTTATACTCTGTTGTTACGTTTTGTTGTATGTTTACTCTGAGAATCCTATACACACTGAATCCACACTATTCTACATGAAATATTTTACACTCTTTTATTACGTTTTATTGTATGTTTACTCTGAGAATCCTGTACACACTGAATCCACACTATTCTACATGAAATATGTTTACATTCTTTTGTTACGTTTTGTTGTATGTTTACTCTGAGAATCCTATGCACACTGTGTTCACACTATTCCCCATGAATTATGTTTAGACACTTTTTCTAATTTTGTACTGTATGTTTACTCTGAGAATCCTAAACACACTGTGTTCACACTATTCCCCATGAATTACGTTTAGACACTTTTGCTAATTTTGTATTGTATGTTTATTCTGAGAATCCTATACACACTGTATTCACACTATTCCCCATGAATTATGTTTAGACACTTTTTCTAATTTTGTATTGTATGTTTACTCTGAGAATCCTAAGCACACTGTGTTCATACTATTCCCCATGAATTATGTTTAGACACTTTTGCTAAGTTTTTATTGTATGTTTATTCTGAAGTTCCTATACACACTGTATTCA